CTTTTCTGTTCACAATTCCAACACATCAAAGTAGCTTTTTTGGAGCTTTATGGCTACTGGCTTTTCTTTGCCCTGAGCAGAAGCCATCATAATTATCTTTTAACTTCTTGTAGGTAACAAGGAGCTCTGGGGATTTTTCAAACTTAATTAAGACACAGAGAGACTAATAGGGTCTGAAACGTCAACTGTTCTACAACATAAATAAAGTTATTGCATGATTTTTTGTTAAAAGTCAAAATTTTGAAGCATTTATCATTAGTTTTTTTGTATATATAAGGGTAAATTACACAAAACTACCTCAACTATAGGTCGAACCACAATCTCATACCTCATGTTTTAAACATTACAATTTCATACCTCAACTTATGAATTCATTGTAATGTCAAACCTCCATTAAATTTTCTGTTAATTTAGCTGTTAAATGATGACGTGACAGAAGCTAGGCCCACTCCTTCGCCTACTGGAATAAAAAATAATTAATAATTAATAAATTAAGAATTTTTTATTTAACAAGAGTAAATTGTAGCAATGGTCCCTGAACTTTACTCAAATTGGAGCAATGGTCCCTCAACTAAAAATCTATTACCATTGGTCCCTCAACTTATCAAAATGTGTAGCTATAGTCCTTTTCATTAATTTCTTCAAAATTTTGTCAAAATATGTTATGTTGGAATAACCATTTACTTAATTAGGGTCCCTCAACTCATCAAAGTGTGTAATTATGGTCATTTTCGTCAACCACGTAAAAAATTTTGTCAAAACGAGTTATGTTTGAAGGACCATAGCTACAATTGGGATAAAGTTAAGGGACCATTTCTCCAGTTGAATTAAATTTGAGGGACCAAAGGTAATGGATTTTTAGTTGAGGGACCATAGCTGCACGTTTTAATGAGTTGAAGGACCAATGGTAATGGATTTTTAGTTAAAAGACCATTACTCATTTAACAATTAAAATTAAATAAAAAATATATTCTAATTAGTTATTTAAAAATATTTTATTAATTAAAAAAGCTTGGTTAAAAGTAATTTCAAAAAGAAGCAAAAACCAAAATCGCAGGTTTGCTTCTATACCGTTGTTCTTGCTTCGGCAAGAACCTAGATTCACCCCCGCCGTCAAAGTACCTTCATGTTCCTTCTCCTTCTTCTTCCCTCTATCTCCTCTTCTTCTCTCTCAAACCTTCCAAATTTGTTTCTCCGGCGGCTCCTAGTCAAAGCCAAAAGCCTCTTTCTTCGTCGTCCTCCGTGGAATCTCCTGCTACCTCCACATGTTCCAAGCAGTCACAAGGCCATTTCTGAAGGGATATCTGAGGCCGCGACGGAGATTCTCGCCCGGATGACGACGACCCAACTTTAAAAACCTAATTTTTTTTTTTTCCCAAAAACTTATCAACCGTTTTGAAGTTGAAGATTTTCGATTTCGATTGAGGAGAAATTCATCGTTACCGTAGACCGACCGAATTTTCCCTTTTTCGAGGGGTTTTCCGATCTCGAAGTCCCGCTGGTTTTCTTGCGTTTTCTGGGGTTTTGATTCCACTTCCCTCTGGTTTTTAAGGAATGGATTTTTTTTTGGGAAAAAACCATACAGAGAGAGAAGACATTATATGGCCTGGAGTTAACACTTTCTGGAATTGAGGAGCAAGAGATGGGTTGCCACAAAATCCATATTTGAGATGGAGATGGGTTGCCACAAAATTCATATTTGAGATGGAGATAAGGCTTCTAGGTGCTCGGGTAGGAAGAACCGAAGAAGAACAATTTTTCTCTTTTTTAATTAATAAAATATTGTTTTCAAATATTTTTTAATTAATTTTAATTGTTAAATAAAAAATTCTTAATTTATTAATATATATATATATATTATTTTTTTTAGTTGACGAAAGAGTGGGTCTAGCTTCTGTCACGTCATCATTTAACAGAAAATTTAACAGATGTCTGACATTACAATGAATTCATAAGTTGAGGTATAAAATTGTGATGTTTAAAATATGAGGTATGAGATTGTAGTTCGACCCACAGTAAAGTTAGTTTTGTGTAATTTACCATACATATATATATATATAAGTAGGAGCCTCCCTCTTACCTCACATCTTCGTATCTCCATTTTCTATTACACGCAAGAAAAGAGACAAAGACAGAGAAAATGGGAGTGAAAGTGCATGGTGTTGCTGTCTCGACATGCACATCTCGTGTCTTAACCATTCTCCATGAAAAAGGCCTTGATTTTGAGCTCGTCCCTGTTAACCTTCTTGCAGGAGAACACAAGCAGCCCCCTTTCCTCGCCAAAAATGTAACTAATTAATTACATGTTTAATTATCAGATTCCTTATATTCTTCGTCAATTGATCGATCGGATCGATCGAATCGATCTTTTAATCGCAACGTATATACAGATTTATATTTCTGATCTCGTTTTTGTTACAATTCTGCAGCCTTTCGGACAGATTCCAGTGCTTGAAGATGGTGATCTCACTCTTTTTGGTAAATATTCTTCGTTGTTTTCTCTAACGTATATATCAATGGTTTCCCTGTAATTTTCTTTCCCTTTCTCGTTCAGATCCGCTTTTACAAATATATATGCACCTCTCTTTTACAATTTTTTAATATAATTATTTTCAAACCTCAGATTTCTCTGGCAATTGCATCATAATTATGATTTTGATTAGCATCACGATTCGTCCTCCTCCAATATCGGTTTGATTTCCTATATTTATTTACTTTTAGAAAACTAATGAAAATTGTCTAGAAACTTTATGTTTAAACACAAAGTAAAAAGTAAAATAAATAGTATCAAGATTGACTTTTAAAATTAAAATATGATTTTTCGTTAAAGTGAACAGTACCGGAAACTTTTCGTTAAAGTTTTTTTATTTTTTTGGTATTTCAATATACATCACTCATCGGGCAACATCCATGTTGATTTTCTACCAGTTTTTGAAATATTTTAATAAACAAAACGTTTCACAAATTAAGACCGTCAAGTCTCCTGAAACCCATCCCTTGCTGATGTTTAATTCTTTTTATAATTATCAAATTTTAATTTTTTGAAGAAAATTTGAACTTACCTCTATATCATAATTTTTTCAGTCTCACTATAAAAAATAAAAATAAAAAATAAAAAATAACCTTGACTAGCTACAAAAAAATTTCAGTCCCCCCTATTAGACAGATGAAATTTTTTAATTATTGACAAGGACAATCATCTCAAATGGAGTCCCTAAACAGGGACAACACTGTATAAAATGATTATAAAACAAATGTAGTGACAAAATAAACCTCTAATGGATTGAAAAGTGAGTCTCTAAAGTATAGAGACTCACTAGATACTTGTGCATGTAACCACATATAGAAACCATATAGGAACTGAAACGGTGGAGCACAATAACAATTTAACTGGAAAAATTGGCCCGCCAATTTGAGTACTCCCAAGTGCTGACAACGCCCGGGTGCAAAAGGGCAAAAAAAGGAAAAAGATTCTCTACTCTCTTTTTTTTTTTTTTTTTGTCCTCCCCTTCCTTCCCTTCTTATTTGAACGATGAAGGTTAAGTCAGGTTAATATCTTATATAAATTTTTTATAAAAAGAAAATGACAAAATAAAAAATGTGAAATGAGGGAATGAAAAAATGAGGGGAGAGAATCTTAATCCGTGCAAAAAGACTCGCGGACATGAACTCCAAATGCTTATGGCATAGTTCTTCTCATGAATTAGTTGTTGATAACATGCCCAGCATGCATTAAGAAAAATGTAATCTAGTAATTATATATTTTTTACTTTTAACTTTATAAACCTCTTTTTTCTTTTATCATCGTTAAACTATGTATGTGCATGTGTGAATTGAAAACAAGGCATCTTAAATTATGTAACAATGGTTGTTAAGCCCAAAATTAAAAGTTTTGTCAACTCTGTTAATTATTAGCACATGAGCCTCAATATATAAAGTTAGCCTCACATGTGTATTTGTTTTCAAATTTTGATACTTTTCATTGTTTTTAATTCACGTAAATATTTACTGAAACGCTACTCCGTAGGTAATAATATTTAATGTTTTGGATTTAATCCGGAATTATTTGGTGCGAACCATTTGTTACCTTTTTATGATACTCATTTGGAACATTTGTTTATAATTATATGGCAGAGTCAAGAGCTATCACTGCATATGTGGCTGAGAAATTCAAGGAAAATGGTGTTGATCTGATCAGGCACAACAACCTCAATGAGGCAGCTCTGGTCAAGGTCTGGACAGAGGTGGAGTCCCAGAGTTTCCACCCTGCAATCTCTCCCATTGTCTTCCAACATATCATCGTCCCCATGCGCGGACAAACACCGGATCAGGCAGTCATCGACGCCAACTTGGAGAAGCTCGCGAAAGTTCTGGACGTGTACGAGGACAGGCTGAGTAGCACCAAGTACCTGGCTGGTGATTTCTACAGCCTTGCTGATCTCCACCACCTTTCCTACACTTACTACTTCATGAAGACTCCGGGGGCGTCGTTGGTGAATGAACGTCCACACGTTAAGGCTTGGTGGGAGGACATTTCTTCTAGGCCTGCTTTCAAGAAAGTGGCCGAGGCTATGACCTTGGGACAAAAGTAGTGTCCACAGACGAAAACTAGCTTTTGTCATCAGAAGGCAGACTTGAATCTCTCTGCTAGAATAAGTGCTTTCCTCTCTGCTAGAATAAGTGCTTTCAGTCGTTAGAAGGCAGACTTGAATCTCTCTGCTAGAATAAGTGTTTTCCGTCGTTAGAAGGCAGACTTGAATCTCTCTGCTACAAAAAGTGCATTAGTAAGTGTGATGGATCCATTGTTCTTGATCTTATGCCAAATTTCTAAAAGTTCGAATTTTTTTTTTTTTTACGTGATCTATAATTTTAGTTAAGGTGTGTGTGCGCGCGCCCGTGCGTGCACGCCCCAGTTCAAATTCTGGCCGGGCTAATTTTGTGCCAAATTTTTTCTACCACTGGATGCACAGAAGCAATGGTGTGTTATACTACTCAGAGAGTTGCTAAATTGAGATTTGTAGTACCGCATTAAACATATATGATAACCATTTACAATAAGAGTTTCTGCTGCTCCCATACATTTTCATCAAGGGGAGTTTGTAGGGGAAACACTTACACAAGCCTCTCTACCAATGCACCATACACGTGATCGGCTTGGTGTTGCAGTCACAGGGCTATCTTTAGCTACATTATATGAAAATTCTAAAACGATGCTACCCAAAGTAGAATCAGAATGCCGGGGAACCCCACTGTTGCCATCAATGAATGAGTAACTGTTTGAGTTACAGCTGATACTAGTCCCCGGAAGGTAACATGATTCTGTACATGAGTCGGGATTGTGCAAAGCATCTTCTCGCAAAACATCTCCTACTCTGGACAGTATGCTGAATGCCAAGTTTCCAAGTACTCGTGAATATGCTTCCAGAATTGAATGACCAATATCCTGTAAAGTAAAGGAAGGTGATCACCAAAATCTACATCCCACTTTTCCAAGTATCTGAACAAGTTTATCAACGTTCATATGGTAAATTTCGGTTTTCAAATCGAAGCTGTTTGTGTACGGAAACTCCACAAAACAAATATCAAGAAGCTTATATATAGTTTGAACTTTGAAGCAATAGGCAGATCAACTCAAGCTTTTCTTGGAATTGAACGGATATACTTACGAAGCTTACCTTGCCGTATTGGATTTTTGTAACATCTAGAAAAGTTTGGGGAAGGTTGGGGTATTTGGTCTTCAGCTGCTGTATAAGTACTTCGGCTTGATCCAATAGTGACTCCATCTTATCAATCTCAGATAAAGGGTCCTTAATGAAGGACCAAGATGTTCGAGCAGGAGATTTACTGCTCGCTTGTTCTGTAATTCTTTCTTTCCAAGAGAAAACAGCAGCTTCCAGCCTGTTAATGACCTCAAGGGCATTGTGCTCGGATTTTAGATTGAGTGAATTGAGCATTTCCTCAGCTGAGTTTGTTTCAGCAGTCAAGACCTTGTACAGTTCCTCGCTAAGGCTTGCTTTTCCAGACTAAATACATCAAAAGAAATATAATTAATTATCAATGATGTATTGAACATTTAGACGTATAATCATCAAGCACGTGATGAAGTTACAAGAATTTGATTTTAAATTGTCTATGTAATCGATGATTAAGAATGCTATGGAACAAAAAAAAAGAGAGGCTGTATTACCTTCGGAAGTGCATCCCTGACAATGGTTGGCACAGGCATTTCAAGCAGCACACTTTCGTTGATAGATCTGGCAGCCTTGAATACTTGATGCACTATCCTACCATGACTAAGCAATTTCCTTTTAGCTGTATCAGAGAGCCCAGTAGCTGGTACTTGGGGTGTTGGAAGCCACCATCTCTTGCTCTGACGTGCCATTTTGTTCCTCCCTTCTGCCCGGCTACCTCCCTCTGCATACCAAAACTCAGTATCGACCATTGCCTCAAGTGTGTCCTGATAAATTGAAGATTAATAAGGTGAACAAAAGATATTAGTTAAAGTGAAAAGCAAAAAGAACAAGTAAATTTTCCATGGTTATCGTTGGCAATGAAGAGACCACCTACAATAAGCATGGAGTCCAACTTCTTAAGTGCTGGAAGATTCATGTGTATGTCTGCACGGGCTTTTGGGGTCATAATCTGCAGCATTAAGAATCACACACCAATCTCATTACCCTGAATTACATTTGTATAGTCAATACAAACCAACTTAACTGAAACGTACCTCTAGTGTTCTACCATTTGCACCATTTTGCTTGGCAGGAACCAGCTCAACCATATAGTTCGTAGGCGTAAGAAACCAGTCCATTTCTCGTCGCCATTTGCTTTTCCTATCTTCAGGTAGTGGTTCGAGTTTCCACAGCTCTCCAAAAATCGTTGCTGCAAGTGCAGTTTTATATTGATATCAGTGTAATGAAGGCAATGTCTAACAGTTACAAAAATAGTTTATGCTACTAGTTCCGAATCTTCTGATACGATCATACGAATAGTTGGCTGTTCATGAATAATGCCAATCTTACTGGCTACATGGTGTAGGCAATATGGTAACGTAATGTGCCATAGTGAGAAGCAAATTTAAAGCAAACCTGCCAGGTTTGTAATGGCATTTGACAGTGCAAGTGCAGTGCTGAGGCCCCTGTTCCCTCCGGTGACATCTTCACCCAATAACAGCTTTGCAAATTTTTCTTTCATTGCCTCGACATCTGAGTTCTGAAGCGGATAATCAGGTTTTTGGTTAACATAGAAATGCTGGGGTCTGTCCAAGTGATCCCATTCATCAAGACTTTGTTCATCCTTGTTCACCGTCATCCATTTTGACGAGAAAGATCCAGAAGCATCCTTTCCTGAAGAACAGGTTGATGCATCATCGTCCAGTGAGTCAGTTACAAAGCCATCTCCCCTACTTGTTCCGCTTTCATTTTCAAAAGATTGACTGCTGAGTATGCAATTTTCGAGTCCATTGTATGTCATTATCCCTGAAACGCGCAAGTTTAATCTCATCATTTCTACTTTTAGACAGATATCAGATGGATCATCCCATATAAACTTTAATCCTTGCAGCAAGGCAGCAA